GAGCCTGGTCCCCACAAGGGAAAACCCTGTTAGGACTAAGGTATGAATTGAGTTTTGGTTAGGGTTAGGGTTAGGTATGTGATGGTTAGGAAAAGGGTAAAGGTAAGGTTTAGGCTGTAGAAATGAATGGAAGTCAATGGAAAGTCCCCACAAAGATAGCAACACAAACATGTGTGCGTGTGTGTGTGTGTGTGTGTGTTCCTGAGTAATGTTTCAGGATAGAGAAGGATGACTCTCCTCAAAATCCATACATTCTGCTGAGTCATGATGGGACTGTCTTTTATGACGAGGACATGCGGGTGATTAGCACCTGCAAGATGGACGTCCACAAGTTTCCTTTTGACACGCAGGAGTGCAGCCTGTCCATTGGTTCTGCGATACATTGTGGTGGGTATCTGTGAGTCGCCCCCATGTTTATACACTTTTAAAACAATGATACTAATGAGCAATTAGTAAAATTGTTGCTAAACTATGCAAATAAATTTGATTGATTGATTAATGCATGTTGAAAAAGAATAACTAACTATTTGGAACTATAGTTATGCATCTTCAATAAATATAGCTTACAGAAATAAGTTACTTGTACTGATCTTAGTTTGAGCAGTCAGGAGTTTATTTTATTTTGAGTACATCAAATAAATACCATGCAAAGAGAACGAAACAGATAAATTTGGTTCAGAGAAAAAATCAAAAGATTTGTTTGGGTTACAAAACAGATTAGGATGAAATGGTGATGGATGGGCAATAAATGGAGGTACAATTTGGTGAAGCATTTAATTGATCGAAATCCATTAGTTACACAAGCTATTAAAATTTAAAGCTCTAGATGGAAACATAATAGTCTTTTTGAGAGCTTGAAATAGCTACTAGTATTGCCATTTTTCTCAATAAAAGGTTTTATAGTTCTTGTAATAAATTGAATTTTTCTAAAGATAAAGTTATTGATGTTTTTTAGCAGTCAGTTACTGTCCAAAACTGGTTACCTAGCAACCGCTGCTAAGGCAATTACTTCTGAAATTGATAGATATCTGATAGGGAACAATTGTGAGAAGTTTCATGCTTATGTCATCATCCGAGAGATTATTACACCAATCGCTCAGACTCCTTAGCAGCTTGGACCCTCATTTAATTTTCTTTTATCTCCCAACAGTAAAAGAAATTCGAATTTTTCCTTTCTCAAATTCCTCTCGGGCCACGCAGTTTTCCAGAGAGGTAATGAAGACACAGGGAGAGTGGGAGTTCCTGAAAATGTCCGTCGAAAGCGCCAACATCAGCTTGTATGATAGGCGTTGGGAACTGCTAGTTTACAAGGTAAACAACACTGAAAACAAAAATAAGTCAGCAAAGGGGTGTAATGATAAAACAAACTCACTAGATAAGGCAATATCTAGTGAGTTAGATTTAGATTTTGAACCAAGTGTTCAAAATCAACCTTTCTTTGTTTTTAAATGTTGTCAGGTCACCATAAAGAGGAGACCTCTACTCCATGTCATAAACTTCCTGTTGCCCATCCTGTTTTTCCTCATCCTGGATCTTGCCTCTTTCCTCATCGCTGACCATCGAGGGGAGAAGCTGGGCTTCAAAGTCACAGTGCTGCTGGCCATCTCTGTCCTCCTGCTCATCCTTAATGACATCCTGCCCTCAATGTCCAACAAGACTCCACTGATAGGTAAAAAGCCGGGAACTGAAGGGTTTCCATTTGACTTGAGATACTCAAACAAATGTCACTAATCGCTTGTTTCTGTCTCTAAGCGACCTACTGCATTGTGATCTTTGCTCTGATGCTGCTCAGTCTGCTGGAGACAATCCTAGTAACGTACCTGATAGATAAAGACTCTGAAGCTGAACTCGGCATATGTGACAGTGGGGAGGAAAAAAATAAACAAATGAAAACAAAGGATTGCAGCACAGGTGAGACACACCCTATATTACTGTTTGTGTGTTTCCACTCATATAAAATGTGTAGTTTTTTAGTTCATTATGTACCTACAATAAATGAATCCCATGCAAATTTTTAAAAAAGGAAAAAAAATCCTGCAAAGTTTGTATGTTTAAATAATAAGATGTATCCATGCTCCTTTTTCTAACAAATGTGTTGTTCTTTTAGAAATTAAAAAACAAAATGGCTGCAGCTGCAGCCACAGAGTCTGTGAAGGTGAGAAGCAGCATGAGCTCCTTACTGTGGATGACGAGGTAAGTATCATGTGCATGTTCTATACAAATTATTAGGCTTTTTTACACTTATTACACTTGGTTTGAAAAAAATCAATTGAATGCAGTTTAGAATAAACACACTTCTAATTTAGGAATAATTCATGGTTTATCTTTTTTCTGATTATCTTTTGGTACTATCCGATGTCTTTCTTTGAAGTTGAGTCCGAGTTCATGTACAAATCAGCACAAACATCTCGTGCCCACTGTCACACACGGTGGTGGAGGGTTAATGAAAAACCAACAAATATTTTTAAATTGATGTAGCAAATACAAATCTTGCAAATTAAACAAAAGAAAATCTATCTAGCATCTTTTTGCAAATGTTTGTTTTTCTTAATTTCAAAACCTAAAAATAGAAATAAAATGTTGCGTTTTTAAAAATGATAATTTATTTCCTAAAGCAGACATTTATCAAATATTAAAAGTTGTCTTTATTCAAACAATAAAGCATATTTATTGTTTGAGCAGATTGTTTTGAGCAGATTTACAGCTCAAAACAAGTTTTATTTAGCTGGACTGTGAACAAGAATAGCTCTGGATTGTAAAGCCTGTAGACCACTGGGCCCAAATCAAACTCCAGAACTCTTTTATTGGTTCAATCTTTGTTTAATATAGGCTTTGTGAAATATGAAATATGTAGTCATTTTTTCTACATAAATATTCAATTTAGATAATCTTAGAACAGGATAAAGTCATGATCAGACCAAAGTTCATTCTGTTTCTATATGCAAAGCCACTTCACGTCTCACTATTCACAGCCCTCTGCACAGTAACACAATATAGTTTTAACATGGTAAGACAATACTAGGATTTCAGTTTTGTGTCTCATACCACTCGGATTCCTCAGAATAAAAAACAAGGCAAAGATGAGTAGAACAAAGTTGTAAAAAACTGAATCTGAAAGTAAAATCCAGTGAACCGACTGCATCTATGTGCTGCAGGTGAACAACAGCGACCACTCGAGGGATGCAAGCGCTTTGCTGAGTGAGCTGAAGAAGCTGCAGAACATGATGCATCAACATTTTGGCCCCAGAGAGGAGAGAGTGAAGTCTGTATTTTGGGCAAGGAGAATCAACCGACTGTTCTTTATTTTTTATGTTTTAACTGTTTTGCTCTTCCTGTCCTTCATCCTTATGGAGTGGTACTCTTAAGAAAAAGGAAAATCATTCATTATACTACAATGTCGATCAGTATGTAGTGTTTTAGCGAAAGTTATAGCCGAAGTTTTGACCAAGGATGATGACTGGAGTGGAAATGTCACTGTAAATATTATCTGTGCTTTTAGAAGTGTTCTGTTTTGTACTATAATCAAAATTTATGCAGGTTTGAAATTGAAATTGAAGCAAAGTTTGAGAATCCAGTTAACAATACTTTATAGTCGGGATATTCCAATCGATGTGGGTCTCAATAAACTCAAACAGAAAATTAATACACTCATGTTAACACATGGAGACAATAAAATATAACTAAATTTCCTTCATTCTTAAAATCTAGACCCACTTGGTGCAATTTTTTAAACATGCAACATTTCCTTTCATTTGTATGCAGATGCCTGCCTGGTATATTTTATGCAGCAACACAGTGGGTGTTTATTCCAATCTAAAATATCCAATAACCATAGGCTTTGTAAATAAAAAGTGTGTTTAGGATAAATGTTTTGTACAGGGCAGCAGCACCAGAAGATCCCTGCATGGATGACTGGAATAATAAAGTTTAAGACATTATATCTTGTGTATGAAAAAGGAAAAAGCCACAGTAATAAAACATGTTTTTTGTTTCAGTCTGATCCTCTTGTATCATCCTTCTTTCACCTTGCAGCTCATTTTACATAATAAATGAATCATATTTATTGTCGTCAGCCTGCTATTTTGTGCACCATAATCATATTACGCAGGATGATGGACATTAATTTTACTCATTACAGCAAGTATCTGGTCTACTTGTGCTGCACTCCTGTCTTATACATTCAAGACATTTAGAGAGTAGTCACAGATTTGTTGTGTTTCCTACTAAAGTGAAAATATGTGATATATGTCAATATGTCATATTGATCTGCATGCATTAAGAGACTTTTGAATTAATGGTGCCAATGAGTTCACAAATCACCTGTTTATGTAACATTTGCTTGGGGAAAGAGATTCAATTACGATCTCGCCCTGCAGAGTCTTACATGTTTCTCTTTGGGAATTTTTCACCAAAATAAGGAAAAAATCCAGACTGAATATCTAATGTACCATCGGGGCATGTTTCCATTTGTAACTTGATCTGCAAGTAAATTTATACATTCATTTTGGAGATGTGGGTGTGGCCTCTGTCTGAGAATGAATGTCTGGAAAAAATGAAAAACCAGCAAAAACACCAGACCTCCAGCTACAGCTGTGATTTGAACCTCCCCTTTCCAGTACTACACCATGCAGACATCAACTCAAAAGAGACGCTGAAAGGACAAATACGCACGAGGGAGTCAAGATGCTGGTTGGTTTCCTTTTTCTGCTCCTCGTCTCTGGTAAGTCTCAGGAATATTCAGCCTAATGAGTTTAAATTTATTGTTAAAAACTATTTTTAACTATTTGTATATGTTGTCTGCCTGGTACTGCTGCTGAAATAATTCTGAGTTAATTAGCTGATTGTGTTTTTGTTTGTATATACTTATTCTTTTATCAAACTACAAAATAATAGGTTTTCTTACAGACATCCTTGAGAGATAAAGAGGTAACTTTTCCTGGGCTACACACCGACTGTCATAAGGAGTGGTTGTTGGTGGTGAGGAGAGACACAGAGACCCAGGTAGTAGGAGAAAATGATGAATTTAATGAAGAGAATAGCTCAAAATAGTCCAGATCTCAGGCAGCACGGCAGAGCGGAAACATAGAGACTCAGCACTGGTAGCAACTGAATTCACAAAGACTGACACGACGAGCTAAAGCCGACACAGGACTTCACAGTTCTACTGTGCCAGCAGACAAACTCTCATAGACAAGGACCCGACAAGAGACAAAGACAACAGGTGGGTTTAAATACACTGGGAGGGTAATCACAGGAACAAGACACAGCTGGGATCGATCAAGACAGGGAGGACAGGACATCACAGAGACTCACAGGGAACAGAATCACAATAAACACAGAAAAAACCCAAAAATAAAGACAGAAAACTACGGATCACAACACCGACATTACTAAATAATTAGTGAACTGCTTGTATAAAACCCTGTAATGGTGTCAGCGACAGTCTCATAATGGCCACTTAATGGCCACAATCAATTCTAATAATTACTACATGTGTCTGTGAACCGGTGTTTTTGATGTCCTCATCATAAATTCAGAAGCAATGAATACAAACCACACAGGAGCTAATGCATTTTTGTAGTCAAAATGAAATCAATCTCATTAAAGATTGACAAAATGTGACGGCTGTTTTTGAGAAATGTTTTGCTGTTTGTCGTCTGCAGATGAGATTCATTCTGAGCAGAACTGCAGTTATCAGGATGTTTTGAACTATTTAAACCTGACAAGCAGCAACGAGCTGTACTCCATGACCCGGCCCGTCAAAAACTACAAAAATCCCACGTTAGTGTCACTGGAAGTTCTGCTCTATGCCATCCTAGATGTGGTAAGAAATCATTTATTTTTAATATCTGCTAGGTGTTACAGAATTTTTTTCAAAAGTGTTTGTGATTCATCTTCTTGTGAAAAATATAGAAATATGCAAAATAAAGAAAAGCTCTGAAAGAAAACAAAGGCAGCAGAGAACGGAGTCAAAAACTGTGATTTTATCTCCAGAGAAGAATAATGAGGAGCTCAGTAGCTCATGATTTGTAGGCTACAATAAGGATACCTAGTAGACCAGCACCCTACACAGGGATTCAAAATTCCCTAGATTGTATACCCTGATTAATAAATGCTGGTGACAAAATAGCTTAAAAGAACAAAACTATTGACACTACTTTAAATTATTTATTTATTTTTTGCTTTTCTCCACAAACCAGTTTATGCTTCATTTCTGATAACTGTTGCAGCTGCAGCACAATGCCCTCTCCTTCAATTAGCTCATATACAGAGCAAAAAATGAGCCACAGGGACAGCAAATGATGGTGTGAGTTCCCAGACATGTTGTGACAGAAGAAAAAAAAAACTCAAAATAAAAACATGTTCTTAACTGAGAAACTTTATGCTCACAAACAACACCTGGCCATTCCTTCCAATAAAGCTGAGTTTTTAAGTGTTTTGAAATCCTGAGGAAAAAACTCTCTCCAATTCCTTTCCTCTGTAGCTGTCCTTACTTTTGCTGAGCTCAACTTGACTATTTAGTGATTTAAATACTCAAAATTATTTAGAAACAGTTGTAACAGTTATGGGCTAGGCAGCTAACTGCGATGTCAGAAACCGGTTCTTTGAGGAGCCTGAAGTGTGAATGAAAACACAAGGAAACTGTTTTAGTGTTTCGTGCCAATGTATTGAAATTTTTTTTTTTTTT